CAATCGATTGATTTAGACAATGTTTTATGGTTAAGTGGAGTATAGAGACTCTGAAACATTCCTTAGAACAGAATTGTTGAAAAAATATATACATTTTACATTTAACATAAAAAACCCTTTTGCTACCCAGAATTCCTCAAGTTGAAAAGCTTTTCTTTCAGCGGGTTGAATTCTGTAAAAAGAAAAAATTCTTTGAAGAACCTTTTGCTACCCGATTGTTAATAAATGAATGGCAATCATTGTCAACAAATTAATTAGTTATCAAAATAATCATTAGTTGCAGCCCTAAGTAAATATAGCTGTTTCTAGTGAGTTGTATGTGTTGTTGACAGCTTAAACAACATTGTGTTCAAACTGACCAACTTGTATTGGTTAGCCCTTTTACTAATATAGATTGGTTAAACACTATCAAAAGGATTGTTGTTTTTACCAAAGGATTGGTTGGACACATAACTGCGGAGCAGCAGCTGTGTAAATGCTTTCATTGTGAGTTCCTAGCTGAGCGGACTGGACGTAATGAGTAATACAATATTTGATGTGCCATTATCTATCTATCCATCCATCCATCCATCCATCCATCCATCCATCCATCCATTTTCAAACATGCTTAATCCCAAGTGAGGTCGCAAGGGGTGCTGGTGCCTATTTCCAGCTGTCAAAGGGCGAGAGGCGGGGTACACCCGCAGGGCAACACCGAGACAAACAACCATTCACGCACACACTCATACCTAAGGAGAATTTTCTAGAGAAGCCAATTAACCTTACAGTCATGTTTTTTTTTGGGGGGGGGGGGGGCTGTAGGAGGAAGCCGGAGTACCCGGAAAGAACCCACGCATGCTCAGGCCATGTGGCCTTATCATAATTCTATAAATTTTTGACTTTTTTTTTTTTTTTACTGACAGTAGTAGTAGTGTAAATCACCAGGCTTACCTCACTAGAATGTTAATTTTTTTTTTTTTTTGGATAACAATAGGAGGATACTTGCTGATATCACAAAATCTGTGATGACACAATTTCCATTCAGTTGAGAATCTGCGATTAGTGCAATGCTACATCGTCAGCCCATCCCATACAGTTAGTTACATAAAAGTCAACTTACCAAAAACAACTTAAATATGTATTAACTATTTTATTTCTAAGCTTCCAGGCATGGATGATAAAAAAAGGTAATTAAGAAATTCTACTACTACTAATAATAATAATATTAGATCACTTGTTTGAAAATAAAGGCGTATCTTAAAGATGACCATTTTGCCTTGATGTCTTAATTTGTTTGCTTGTAAATGAATCATTTCATCACTGTATCCATGTAGATTGATTATACGCCCCTAATACATGGAGGTGCTTCATCCATTTTTAAAGAATTTGAACCAAGTGAAACTAAAACCAGCCCAGAAATCTAGAAAACTTTTTTTTACAGATAAAGATTTTTCACCTAAAGCAAGTTTTTTTTGTATTTTCATTTTTCAGTTATTTGCCACTCTTAATGAGTTGTTCATTTAGCAAACTACATAAACTCTAGTTAGCATTTTTTTTCATTACTTAATTAGTTCACAAGTATTGATTTATCATGATTCATCTGATCGGCTTCTTTAGCTCTACAATAAACACCTTCAATACCATAGAAGATGCAGGTAGCTGCTAAATAGACATGCTGATTTTACATTCAAAAATAGGGTTTTTAAATAGTATTAACATAATATGGATTGATGGACAGGTATTCTGTTTTAATTAAATGATTGTCTCTGTCATAACTGGTTATATTTCTAAGCAGTCAAAGTAATGGAATGTTTTAAAGTGTTCCTTCATCCATTGTCCCCGCCAGCTTACTGCTGGTTACAGGAGATCAGAAATAGTTGCAGTAAATCAATGTCAACACCACAACATTTCCTGCGTTTGAATGTTTTAGGAGAATAGGAATATTTTTCTCAAGAAGGGAGTGTCGAGGTGTAGTGACATTCCAAAGAAAACTAATCACTACCAAAGGTCTTTTAAACCTGTCCTGTGTTTGTTTTTCTGTTTCGCACGTGTGAGAAAAATGAGAAACCTCCTGAGTATCTAAATAGAAACTCTTTGGGTTTTTCTGCCTATTCATATGGAAACCAGAACTCTGCATGTTATGCCACCATTTAATCTTATATTAACCAAACTTCTTTTTTTTTTTACACACAAAAAAGTATTATCACATTCCTGTTCCGATAATGTGATTATTACATGTATAGTAGGGCTGTAGCTAACGATTATTTTGCAAATTAAGTAATCAGTTTGATTATTTTTGATTAATCTGTTAATAACCGGGTAACAAAATGTTTCTTAAAAAAGACTTCTTACAAAATTTAACCAGGTGAAACTAAAACGTTTCCACTTTGAGTTCTGGATAAAGCATATACAGGTGCTGGTCATAAAATTAGAATATCATGAAAAAGTAGATTGATTTCAGTAATTCCATTTAAAAAGTGAAGCTTGTATATTATATTCATACATTACATACAAACTCATATATTTCAGATGTTTATTTTGTTTAATTTTGATGATTACAAATGACAGCAAATGAAAATCTCAAATTCATCATATCAGAAAATTAGAATATTGTGAAAAGGTTCAAAATTGATGGCCCCTGGTGCCACACTCTAATCAGCTAATTAACTCAAACCACCTGCAAAAGCCTTTAAATGGTCTTTCAGTCTAGTTCTATAGGCTACACAATCATGGGGAAGACTGCTGACTTGACAGTTGTCCAAAAGACGACCATCGACACCTTGCACAAGGAGGGCAAGACACAAAAGGTCATCGCTAAAGAGGCTGGCTGTTCACAGAGCTCAGTGTCCAAGCACATTAATAGAGAGGCGAAGGGAAGGAAAAGATGTGGTCGAAAAAAGTGTACAAGCAAGAGAGATAACCGCACCCTGGAGAGGATTGTGAAACAAAACCCATTCAAAAATGTGGGGGAGATTCACAAAGAGTGGACTGCAGCTGGAGTGAGTGCTTCAAGAACCACCACACACAGACGTATGAAAGACATGGGTTTCTGCTGTCGCATTCCTTGTGTCAAGCCACTCTTGAACCACAGACAGCGTCAGAAGCGTCTAAAGAGAAACAGGACTGGACTGCTGGTGAGTGGTCCAAAGTCATGTTCTCTGATGAAAGTAAATTTTGCATTTCCTTTGGAAATCAAGGTCCCAGAGTCTGGAGGAAAAGAAGAGAGGCACTTCATCCACGTTGCTTGAAGTCCAGTGTAAAGTTTCCACAGTCAGTGATGGTTTGGGGTGCCATGTCATCTGCTGGTGTTGGTCCATTGTGTTTTCTGAGGTCCAGGGTCAACGCAGCCACATACCAGGAAGTTTTAGAGCACTTCATGCTTCCTGCAGCTGACCAACTTTTTGGAGATGCAGATTTCATTTTCCAACAGGACTTGGCACCTGCACACAGTGCCAAAGCTACCAGTACCTGGTTGAAGGACCATGGTATCCCTGTTCTTAATTGGCCAGCAAACTCTGCTGACCTTAACCCCATAGAAAATCTATGGGGTATTGTGAAGAAGAAGATGCAATACACCAGACCCAACAATTCAGAAGAGCTAAAAGCCACTATTAGAGCAACCTGGGCTATCATAACACCTGAGCAGTGCCACAGACTGATCGACTCCATGCCACGCCGCATTGCTGCAGTAATACAGGCCAAAGGAGGCCCAACTAAATACTGAGTGCTGTACATGCTCATACTTTTCATGTTCATACTTTTCAGTTGGCCAACATTTCTATAAATCCTTTGTTTTTATTGGTCTTCAGTAATATTCTAATTTTCTGATATGATGAATTTGAGATTTTCATTTGTTGTCATTTGTAATCATCAAAATTAAACAAAATAAACATCTGAAATATATGAGTTTGTATGTAATGTATGAATATAATATACAAGTTTCACTTTTTAAATGGAATTACTGAAATCAATCTACTTTTTCATGATATTCTAATTTTATGACCAGCACCTGTAGAAAAAATGTTTATTTATCTTCAACATAAAAGGTTTATATATATATATATTTTTTTTTTACAATTTTGGTTTAATTACTGCTCTAAGTTGGTTTCCCTGTCAGCTAAAGGCATATTTTGGTCTCTCTAATCCAGTTAAGAATTAATCAATTACTAAATTAGTTGAAGATTATTTCAATAATCTATTAATCCTGATTAATCCGATTAATTGTTTCAGCCCTATTATACTGTATATTAATGTTATCATTGACATTAATGCATGGGTGTTCTGGAGAGTACAAATCGGATGGAGCACATACTCAATGCTTTGGCAAAGAAACCTACATTTTCATGCTGTTTTAGGGAAGGAACGTGGAGTTGATGCTTACATGCATGGTTGTTAGTGTTTTAATTTATACAACACATGACTAAAAGATGAGAAATATATGACTATAAATCACTTTAGGAGGTTTTATTATGGCCTTAACTGGTCTGTTTTCTGTATAAAATTAACAAAACTATCTGCAGTTAATCATGAATAAACCTTTGAAAATGTTTCTGTGATGCTTTTCTTTAAAAATGTAAAATATACTCAACATTCTCTCTTTTCCTGAGGCCAACACGCTGCCGTCCTCATCCAGAAGCTGTGATCAAAAACGGGCCGTTTGATCACTGCTCTCTTATGGTACCGCTGGGGCCATAAATATTGACTTTATTTCTTACCCATGAACCTCATTCACATTTATATAAACAGTAGCAGCAAAACTAAAGGTAGTGAATAAGTCAGAATGGGTGTAAAATACCCTTTTCTTTCCCCATTTGTCTGGAAGATGAGTTGTGATGATTAATGTTTTCAGGATATTTCTATCAAGCTTCCTCAAAGATCATGTGTTTTTTACTTTTAGGGATTTTACAGTTAGTCAGAAAGCTAGTGAGCAAATGAGTCCTCTGTTTGCTGGACTTCAGGCTCCTGTATGTACCACTGTTCTCGTTTGACTAATTGTAACCTTTGCCGACCTTTCTCTGCAGTGCTGACTGTTGGCGAGGCCTTCAAAGGTCAGGGTGATGCTCCCGGAGGTTTCGCTGTGACCACTCTTTGTGCGAAAAGATGACATCTCTGTCGCCCACACACAGCGACAGCAGCGGCTCCTCTAAACATGAAACCAACCAGGTATGTAAGGCATGACGTCTGCATGCCCGCTTTGGGTGTGCAGCCAAAGCAGTCGTTCTGCAGTTTGTTTTTCTTCATGGGTAATGTGAGCTGACCTCTGATTTGCTTAATGTAAATCGGCATCTTATCGCTCCGGGGCTGTGAAACAGGTCAAGCAGTATCACAGTTTAAGCGCAGCTCATAGTCATAGTCAAAACATAGTAAATAGAATGTAATCAAGTTTAAAATTGTCTTAAAACTTCAGCGTTTGGCTGAAGCCCCAGATATTTTTTGTCTATTTTATGTTTATCTTTATCTGCTTTTACACTCTCTATTCTCCTTCTAGTCTAGGTTTTATCTCTAAAGGATAATAAGACAATCTGTCCTATGCATATACTGAATATAAAATTGATGTCTTCATTGCCTAAACTATCAGCACATTGGACAGTGTGAGTTTAAGCTGAGCAGAGAAAAAGAAAAACTCTGGAATGAACCCATGAAAGCTTATCTACACTCATAGATATGTACTTTTTAATAGCTTACAGTTGAAATAGAATGGATGTCACAAACGAATCTCAATTTTAGATGTATATGCGTTAGGCTGGTGAAGATTCTCAGTCATCCAGGTCATTCCAAAAAGCTCAAAAATTAAAAAAATCTTCCTGGATGGGAAGCGAAACTTCTTAAAACCTGGAGAACAAAGTCCAGTTGTTTTTTTTTTTTTTTTTACTTTTTTGGAATTAAAGCATAAGGAGTGAAAGATTTTTATGTTAGAAGATCAGAATAAAAGCTGATTCCCACAATAATTTCTAGTGCCAGGTTTAAAATCCTCTTCTTTGTGCATTTGTTTTGTCTCTGCAAAAAGAAATGAAAATAGTTTGATTTTGAGACCTAAATCCTAAAATAATTGAACAAAACTATTTCAGATTCTGCTTACTTTAGAAATGTCTCATTTTTACAATGTAGAAGAAAAGAAATAGGAGGGGTCTCTTTGACTGGAGCATAAGACCTAATCTAGGTCTATAGGTTTGTCTCTAATTATTGACGCAGACTCAATGAAGCAGCTGTTAATGATGAAAAAAATGTTTAGCTTGTTTTTATTATTTGTCAGGCTGCTATAAAACAAATGGTTCTGTCTGCATTCCTTTTTTAACCCTTCATGAAAAGCCTCAGCCCAGAGGCAGAAGCGCCATGTTCTCTATTGACCACCATATGAAAGTTAGATTTTCAGGATCCTACCAGTTTTAGTTCCTCGGTTTTAGTTTAGCTAAATGCTTATACGCGGAGCTGTGTTTACAGCCTGTTATATGAAGGGAAGGAATTTCAGACTCATCTAGGTCATGCTGTGTTGTTCATATGTGTCTTTTCAGGATAGCTGGGAGATTGTGGAGGGGCTCAGGGGTGTTCCTTCCAGCATCCAGGAGCCTGACCCACAGGAAGGCTTCCTCTTCAAGAGGAGGAAGTGGCCCATGAAGGGATGGCATAAGGTGAGCTACTCACCCGCATATTAAAGCTCTACCAAGCTTGGTTTGGGTCAGTTAGGATTACCAAAATAATTTGAATTTGCTTAAAAAAAAGGACCTCCCATGCAATATTTATAAAAGATTGGTTTATTTTCTAGTATTTCTTTTAAAGTATAACTTACACAACGATTACTGTACCTCTAAACCATTTCAGAAAACCAGATAATGACGCTTTAAAAGCAACAATTAATTTAATTAGAGGCAAAACTGAAACAAACTTTCTTCTTGACTGACATGAAATTAATGAAATGAAATCAGGACATGGTTGACCTCCTTAGGTCCGGTTTCTCCTTGGATATAATTTCCAGACACCTGATGGTGCACCTTTTCTCTTTTCAAACACCTCAATTATTCAAACCCTTGGAGGGTTTAAACATCGCAGTATTTTTATTCAGCCGAGATGATGGTTTCTGACAAGAAATGAGACATAAATATCTGAACAAGTTGCTTTTATTTAGTTATTATGAAAGAAATCTTTAGGCCTTGCAACAATAGACCCGTCTCAGAGTTGCCGAGGTGCTTTTTGATTTAGTACTTTGGTATTTTAGCCTTTTCTCTTTAATGATTACACTAATCTTTTGCTCCATCCGTTTGATTACATCCGATTCAAACTGACTACTGGCCGGTTCAGAACGAAAAAAGTGATCAGATTGAAAGAATATTTGATTAACTTTATTTGTAAGTATAAACATCAGGGAAATTTCCAGCAACATGAATGTCTTTTGGTGGTAGATGTTTAGATCAATCCCCCAGCACAAAGTTAGACCTTCATTTTTGAGACATGTGGTGTGTTTTGAAGTGTTTTGGCTCTAAAAACAATTATTTATATGTGGAGATAAGGACACAGCTGTGTGGGTGTTTGGCTGTAAAAGGGACAGGTACACTTCATAAAACAAATGGCATTTTAAAAACATTTATTAATGACAGCCAGGAAGTTAAATCTTGTTCTCAAATATGTCTTAAGCAGTAGTGTAGTGGTCCCTGGAGAAGTAGGTATATTGCCCTCTTTTTTGATGCAGCCCAGAACATGTTAGACCGCTCTATGTAGGTTACCCAAAAATTCCTTCCTAGTGTTTACTCAGTGTCATATAATTTCTGCTACTTGATCTCAGGGAGGATGGATTATGACATAACTAAACGCCGGCCGACAGACGAGTGAGAAACATTTATGGCTTTTGAGTGAACTGTTTTTTATTCTTCAGTCCATCCTCATGAATGATGCCTTTTCACTCACTTAGCAAGTCAGTAGTTTTTTTTGCAAACTGTCTCTGAGCAGCTGATTCTAAGCAGTTAGTGTGGCCGCTATTAAAACTAACATGACTTAATCAGAAGCAGTTTGTTCGTACACTGTAAAAAACAGCTAAAAGTTAGTAAAACTGTCTTAAAATAAGTGTATTTATCCTTAATTTGAGTAGGTAAATAAGATGATTTGCCAATGGGATGAGTATTTTACCCTTAAAATTAGATAATTTGATATTATGCACTTGAAATGAGAGACTGCTGTAGTTTAAAAAAATAATTTCTTAATGTAAATTGTCTTATTCCATTGGCAAAGTGTCTCACTTACCTGCTATTAAAGAACAAATGCTTTTATTTTAGGAAAAACTGGCTTGCTTAGATTCAAATACTTTGCGTATTACAGGTCACACAGGCAGCCTGTATGATTATAAAATACTGTTATTTTTAAACATTTATTTAAATAAAACGTATTATATGTGAATTTTACATTGTTGTTCATATTTGAGCTTAGAAAGAAAAATTAAATGCATCATATATATATATATATATAGATAGATAGATAGATAGATAGATAGATAGATATCATGATTGGAATTCATCTTTCAAATTATTCATTAAAACAATCCGTAACACAACAATATTTAAGATAAAAATGTATTTACAAAACATCAACAGTGATATATTCTCCTAACCCAGTACCGTTGAGCCCGGACAAATTAGGAATATAATTTAGACTGTCCAACAATAAAAATGGCCCTCGCCTGCCTAGCGCCGTTGACTTCTTAATCCAAAGTTGCACGGACATCTTTCAGGGTGATGAGGCACCTTCCTCTTACTGACAGCATCTTGTCAGTAAAGAGGAAGGGGGGCAGAGAGGGCACTGACGTTAGGCTTAACTGTAACAGGGTAGCATCATTAACATTAGCTGAACCACTGGCTAATGTTAATTCACAAGGATGTTTATCATTAGGAAATGAAGCTCGATTCATATTACTAGTTCTTTGCTAATTCTAAAGGCAAATCAATTGAATTAAACTTCTAAATGTTATTTGATATGTGAGCAATAGTAAAATTAGCATGAACCGCCTCTCTCTGCATCTGATTGGCTCATTGGTCGTCATTCCTAAAATTAACCAATATAATCAGTAAGAGCAATAAGTAATAGTCAATTAGAAGCAAAGTAGTGCAGGTAATGGCTTCACTGTCTTAGGAAAAAATGGGAAATTTGACTGGGAGATTCTGCTTAATAGTGCGGAATCAGATCATGGGGAATTTAGAAGTGAGTATATGCAATGCTGATTAAAAATAAGTGGGTATACACTGTATACCCGCATATACCCTGGATTACACCGGTGGTCTTAAAGACAAGAGTGATGATGTTTCAGTGGGACCATTAGTCACTCAAGTAAACCAGCTCTAGCTGAAGGAATGGGTTGAAGGATTGTGGGAAGGAGATGCAAAGTAATTGCCCCAAATCAGACGTAAAAGGTGTGTGTTTTTATACAGTGTTTGGTTTAAATTTTACGTCAGAGGTGTTTTGTGATATAATGATCCTTTCATCCATTTTTAAATCTTTGATCATGGCTCATCTATCCCTGGACACCTCCAGCGATGATGACCTCATTTCATCCACTATTTCCTTCCCTTGTTTTTACATTGTTTTATTCCTTTGTTGCTGAAAGCTGTTAAGTAAACCTGACATAATTTCCCACGGCCTTTTTTTCCTGTTTATTCCACTCATGCTTATCTGAACAGGTCTACCTTGCGACACAATAAAGTCCACATTTCAGCTCTTAGAATGCCCTGTCAGCATCCATCTGGGGTTATAAAGGGAAAAATGTCCTCGTAAACTCTAGTTAAGTCAGTTTGTGATCACATGTTTAGCTGATGGTCACCTACATGACTGCTCATGTTATAAAGTTTAAACTTTAAGGTTATGACCAAAGCATTCAGTTTCAAAGTTGTTGTAAAACAGAGTTACAAAAGTCTGTCTCCACTTATATTTAACAGCACATGTCTTTTGTTTTCTGTCATTTAGAGATACTTCATCTTGGAGAAAGGGATCCTGAAGTATGCGAAGAGAGCAGCTGATGTAGGTTTCACCTCAACAGTGCCATCTGTCTGTTCTTCCACTGTATTGCATTTACATTTTTCATGTTACAAAACCACAAACTTAGATTAATTTAAGCTGATTTAGTATAATTGACACACTGCGACTGTAAGTGGAAAGGTAATTATATCTATTTTCTTTGGAGTTTAATTTTAACTCAAATCTGGCCTTGATGAAGGAAAGTTTGTAAGAGGCCATAAAAAAACATTTGGAAGAAGATTCGATGACACCAGCACCACCGTGTAGCATGGTGGTGTAGCACCATGCTGTGAGGATGCTTTTTGGTCAGAATCTATGGGAGGAGAATAAAACCATCTACCATATTCCTTCTGCTTCATGATAGAACTTTGTGATGATCGATCATGAAAACAAAGAGAGAAATTGGTGATTGTAATGTGACAAAAATATAAAAGGACTGACTGTTATGAAAAGTTTCAGCAAAGCCTGATAGTGACCTGAAATCAACTTCTCCATTATTTATGTACAGCTACAGAAGGGAAAGGTCCACGGGCGGATAGATGTGGGCCTCTCGGTTATGTCCATCAAGAAGAAGGCTATGTGTATTGACCTGGACACAGAGGACAACATCTATCACCTAAAGGTAATTCTAGATTCTTCTGTTTTCTTGTGGCCTTGGGGCATTTTATTACATTTCCTATACATGTTTTACTCAAAGACTTTCTCTGAGGCTTTCAGTAACTTTCTGTTTCCTCATTTGATCTCACGACCCCAAGGTGAAAGCTCCAGAGCTGTTTGAGGAGTGGGTGTCAAAGCTGCGTCATCACCGTATGTTTAGGCAGAACGAAATCACTTTATATCCTCATGAGACCTACCACTTCCACCCCCATACCTCAAGCTCACCTTCGCTTAATGACTCATTTAGAAAAGTAAGCTTTGTTGTTTTTTTTTTGTTTTTGTTTTTTTATTTTGCTGATTGGAAATGTTCTGATGAGTTTTTTTGCTTTTTGTTTCTCGTCTTGCTTTGCGTTTCTCATAGAGAGCGACTCTCCCTAAGCAGGCGTCTATCCACCAGGCTAAGGTCAGCTCCTGGCTTCACTCCTCAGAGGAGATGGATAAATGCTCCAAAGGTTGGCTGCTCTCTCTATTTACCTTATAAAAAAAGCTTTTGTTTAGTGTTATGTTTTCTTTGCCGCTCAGTTTTGGTTCTTCATCACTGTGTCAGTCCACATCTCTTTGATCTAATAATAATCTGCTGATCACTCAGAGCTGGAAGAATGCGAATCTTATCTGCTGGAGCTCAACCAGCTGCTGAAGAGCATGGAGGTCATCCACCGAACATACTCGGCTCCAGCCATCACCGCACTACAAGTGAGCGCCGCTGCTCGGATTATGTTCCCTCTTAGCCCCCCTCCCATCTGTACACGTGTTGGCTGTCGTTCAAGCGGCAGTCGCATTAATGATCAGCAGCTGTGCTGTTTTATCTGCCAGCATCTCTGCTTCCATTTGTGCCAGTGAATGTTTTCAGAAACCCATGAAGTCCATCGCATTTATCTCCCATTATTGGGCAGAGATGTCTGAACACTTAGAGCTTCATTTGAGTGCCGCCGAGTTGCTATGAGCTTCATTTGAGTTTGCTGTATTATTAGAGGACTTAGCTGGGTAAATAAATCCCTAAGGGTTAGCATGTTGCTTTTACAGGATTCATCTGATTGGACAGTGTTGAAACTAAGTATTGTTTACAAGTTTTATCAGGTTACATTATTCTCTGAATAGTTTAAATCTTGAAGGACAAACACCTTTTATTTTCTATTTCAGTATAAATTGATTTGTTTTTGGTTTTGATTCATAAATCTCAACACAACTTCATAATAGTAAAATGTTCATAACATGCTGCTTTTACCTGATAGCTTGCATAAAGGTATTGATATCTTCAAAAACACAATTTATTTTTATTATTTTTAAGGTGCTTGGTAGGATTTTCTTTTTTCGGATGGATAATCTAAGTGTATAAGTGTTCCTCCTAATTGTCAATCATTCTGGTGATCTGTTTACGTAAGGCAGTCCTACATGCTCGTCCCATTAGCCATATGTGTGGTGAGTTACGGTTTCAGACAGTCATTGAAGCTCACCTTTGTCTCCGCGGTTCTATGAAAATGGCTGAGAACTGTAAGAGACATGTATGAGAAGAAAGAAAGGCCTCAGAAGAGGCGGATGTATCCCAGATTGCTTTGCGCAGAGAGCTCTCCTCGCAAAGCATTATGGGATTTGCTGTCACAGCAGCCCGATGTCGCCATAGGCTGTCGCTACCTGACAGTGGAAACAAGGTTGATGCAGGCACCGTGCGGTGGAGGAGGAGTTAAGTGACCAACGGGGAGCAGAAAGTAGCGATCATCTCTCCAAACGGTCAGTTAACTGAGTTCGCTGTAAAGTCCACTGTATAGTCCCCACTCTATATAGTGATTGAGGGATTTAGGGGTTAGAGCGGACAATCAGACACAGTGAGCTTGTATGAGCTATGAGAACAGCAACTTTTAAACAGAGCGTGCACGAAGGGAAATGGGCCCTCGCACACGTTTAATAGGCGTTCCCTCTCAGCAGCGGGTACAGGGTTGTGCATGTGCTTTTTTTTTCGTAAAGTGGAGAGGGTGGGTCTTTTCAAATATTAGCAAAAATCCTCCACCACACCTTTAATTACCTAATAGGCTCTATGCACAACTCCACTACTTCCTGAATTTAAAGCAGCTCCTTTGTTTCCTGTCTTTCATGATTGGATGCACTGATTAATCCAGGTGTGTATGACCTAAGTAACTGGCCAGACACACCTGGATTAATCAGTTCGTCCAGTAATGAAAGACAGGAAACAAAGGAGCTGCTTTAAATTCAGGAAGTAGTGGAGCTGTGCATAGAGCCCATTATCTAAGGCTGTGACAGATGGGCATTAGGCTCTGGTGTTGTTGTTTTTTTTTATTAAGCGTTGATCAAGTATTTAATGGATGTTTTTAAGTTAGAGCACATGTGAAAAATGCCAATGTTTTTTGTAAAATCAAACCTTTTTCATCTTTTGGCTCTGCAGTCATCTACTTATGACATCCCGAAAAAGGAGAGGAGGCCCCGTAGATGGCGATCTAAAAACAACGGCAAAGACGCCAAAGATGCCAAAGCCACATTACAAGTGCGTGTTTAATGTCTTCATTTCTGCCAATCATATATTCGACATCATCAGTGGGAAATTCAATGGGATAATCATGGATCCTCCTTTTGGCACTAGGTCCCAGGCTGCACCTCCACCCAGTCCGCTCGCCTTCATGCCTCCAATCCCAACCTCCCCACCACAGTGTCGGCCACACAGGAAGCTTGTCCTCCTTCCCCGGACTCGCCAACAGAAGTGTCACGTCTGCAGCAGGATTTCTACCGACTGGCCAACAACAGTGAGTCTGCTCAAATAGTTGGATGGATGAATGTACAGTAGGGTGAGGGGGAGAAAAGAGCCTCTGTATGTTTCCTTCTGTATGGGCGCATAGTTTCCATGACAACTCCTGTTCCTTGTTTCTTTTCTGTCTCTCCAGTTCATGTTTCACTAAAATCAGCATATAGCTCCATGGTGGCAGAGAGGGAAAGGCTGAAGCAAACCATCGACCGGCAAGCCCCTCTGCCGCCTGAGGTCTTCGGCCTCAAGAGCCTCTATACATCAGTGAGCAAAGAAAACACACAACTGCATGTTTACTGTCATGTTTCTGTATTCTATGTCTAATTTCTCACCAATATTACCTAAAACCAGGAGGGTACGGGATCCCCACACTCCTTGGTCCACCAAGCCTCCAGCGAGAGCAGATTATCTATCCCAGAGTCCATTTCGGAGTTCTTTGACGCACAAGAGTACCTTTTGTCTTCGTCTTCTTCTGAGAATGAGGTCAATATTCATGTCATCTCTTCTCATTTCTTTTTTATTCCCATCTGTGTAAAAAAACAAATGGTAAAAATTTTGTTTAAATGCCACATGTTCCCTGATTGTATGATCTAAGTAGCCATGTTAAAGGTATTTTTGAGACATTGAGAATAATTTCTTTAATTTTAAAAATGGCTAATTTTAAATTATTATATTAATTAAATGTACACAGTGTTAGTGGAGGATATTTAAAATAAGAGTTAGTTTATGTTTTCTATGCCTTGTGTTATCTATAAGAAATGAAAGAAAAAAAATCAAAAATATTAATCCAACTTTTTATCCAGCAAGGAAACTAGATTTCATTAAGTAGATTAGTAATTATGTACAGAACAAGAGAGAAGCTTGAAGTTTCCTGTTTCTCTCTAAATATAGATTTTATATCGATCTATAAATAGATGGTGGGTAAAATAAGTATTAAACACGTTACCATTTTTCATAGAAACACATTTCTAAAGGTCATATTGATGTAATTTTTTACCAGCCGTTATTAAAAACCCAAGTAATCCATACATAGAAAACAAATAAGCTCATAAAAGAAAGTTATGTGTTATAATGTGAGATGAAACAGGGAAAAAGTAGTGAACATGATTTCTGATGTTAATTTAAACCTACTGTATGTCCTAAAGTCTTTGCTGGTCCTGTATGGAGAAACCAGTGGCCTGTATCGCCCATGTGTGATACTGGTCCATTCTTTCACACTACTAATACTATTTAAATCTGGTTTTTGTTAGTTTCTTCTATGAACTCAGATTTTTAGTGTTTTTATCTGCATAGTTTGGGGATCACTGTTTGCTGAAATGTCCACCGTTTTATTTTCATTAACCTGCAAAATGAAAAATGTCTCAGTACATTTTTCCATTCACCCTCCATTTATTTATATGATGTTTGCCCCCACCTTATGTAGAAGAAAAATCCCAATGCAATGATTTTTCTTCCACCAAACTTCACTGTCAGTACGGTGTTTTTTGGGTGATGGGCAGTGCACTTCTTCCTCCAAACAATGTTTGTGTTATGGGATCCAAAGAGTTCAGTTTAGCTCTCAGCTATCCAGACTGTTCTCCCAGGAACGTGCAACATGCTTTTTTTCTTCAGAAATTAAGTTTTGCACGTTGGCTCCAAAATTTTAAGAGCTCTGAATTTGATTTAAGCATTTCTCAGTTCTATATGAGTCTGGAAAAGGAAAATGGCGAAATTATTATATTTCTTGAGACAATCTCTTTTAGTTCTCTCCACTCATCCATCTGTTCATTCTTCTTTGCTTGCTTATGTCAGCATCTGTTGCATGTGGGGAGATAATGCAGAATCATGTGGTGATTCTGCATATCTAAACTCTGTGAATCTTTATAAAAATAGTCTCATTGTTTGTAGTTTTCTAAAAAAATCTGAGAAAATCAGAAAACCAGTAATCAGAGTTTGAGGACTCTCCTATTATTTTATCCTCTATCCTGCAGCCTCTCTAATCGTCGCTCATTGATCTCCTTTGTCCAGGTGTCAGATGACGACTCCTATATCAGTGATGTTAGTGACACCGTCTCCATGGATACCTTCGATGGAGGCAGCGGCAGGCACAACTCTGGTACACGATGGAGCTACAAGTTGTTTGTGTCCTTTGGTGTTAGTGTTGTATTAATCCAGCTAACAGATGAAAAGCCATCGCTGCTTGAAGAACGCCTTTCTTGCTCAACGTTGGGCTGATGATTGTGACTAAGTGCTGGTGTAAACTAACTGTCAGCACTATGGAAATGTATGAACGTAATGAAATGACTCAGAGAATGTGTTGAACAAGAGCAACCCCAGCTTCCAGACATGTTTACAAACAGAGATTCTATCGTTCAGTTTATGTTAAACCATCTGTTAGCAGAGATCATCAGGGCGCTGCTTCATGTATATTATAGCTCTTAGAAACACAAATATTGGTTTCCCAGCTCCTTGATTCCAACTGTCACAGATCTCCTCTCCTCCTTCAGTCAGCAGCGTAGTGACCCTGGCTCGCCGTCGCTCCACGCTGCCAAGCCGCTGCCCAGCCAGCAGCGTGAGCCTGTGGAACATCCTGAGGAACAACATCGGCAAAGATCTGTCCAAGGTGGCCATGCCTGTGCAGCTCAACGAACCCATCAACACCCTGCAGAGGCTGTGTGAGGAGCTGGAGTACAGCGACCTTCTGGACACCGCCAACCAGACTGAAGACCCTTACCAGCGCATGGTGAGTAATAACCATGTAGTGCAGCTATGTTGGGTTTAACCACTCTATATTTTACAGAGCAGGGTAATAGTTATCCAGCTCTATGGACAAGAGTCTTCCACCTGCCTGTGTCACTCCTCAGTCACTGCGCTTATGGTGGAGGTTATTACTTCCATTAAATTGTGCTTTTCTAATGCTTCATCCACTGCGCTTTAATGTTTAGCGAATGGTACCGAACTTTGGTTCTTTTATGATGCTGACCGAAATGCTTCGGTTTTAGAGTATTAAAACATGCCTCATCTTTTGGTGCCAAGTTTCACTGATTTACCGTAACCTTAAAACGATTGTGTCACTCAGAAAAAATACATATTTGGTTATGCCTACGGGGTTCACATGTATCTGTTGTGAACTGGTTGCCAGCTTCGTCAAACCACTTAAACATGCTAAGAGGTCAAAGTGTGGCTTCACTTTAGAAAGATTGATGCAAATAGTGCACAATGCAATATATGCCAAAAAGACATGGTTGCTAAGGCAGGCAACACCACTAACTTGATGAAGCATGGCTCAATTTAAGAGCAGAGAGTTGCTCAGTGTTCCACAAAATCTCCACCACCAGACTCGTCTTCAACAGGCAAGTTTACATTTGTTAGCGTTACTGCAACTTAATAGTTGCACAAACTTGGCAACCAGGTATCTCTGTGTCCAAGCATGATCCAGACCCTCAGAGCATACATTTTCTGCAGCTCGAGAAACAATCAGCCAGGGGCGGGCTTGCTGAGAAACCTGTTAACCTTTTTGCAGAAAAACTTCTCAGTAAAAAGTCTTCAATATGTAACACTGAGCATTAGTCACTGACTTGTCACTTGTTTGCAACTGTTCTTTGACAATGAAAATTATTTTTATGTAAGAAAAGTGCTTGGAATTGTAAAATCTGAGCTAAAAATAAAAGATTTTTACTTTTATATGTAATGTTATTTTCTTTTTATTAGAATTAATATAATAAAATTGGTATTAAAAAAAGTATTGTTCAGAAAACGGTATCAAAGTGAAGGTATCGGTATTGGTACCGGTAATCGAAGATTTTTGATTGAAACCCTAATAATACAAGAAAACGTGCTGGCAAAGTAACTCTGACAGATGTTCAGATAATTATTTTACCGCAGCTTGTATGGATGTTTTATTTCTCCACTCGCTTGCTCAGGCGTCAGGCTGAGGCTTACTTCCTCGCCTTAGTAAGCAGTTTTCTAGCCTGTTACTGTAGATCAAACCGTGCTTTCACCATTGGTCTAAAGACATGGCCGGGTGTAAATGAAATATTTTCAATCACAGTCTTAATTCAGGTGGCAGATCCTTGGTCTTTATGATGCTTTTCATTCACTAATAATCCATAACTGATGGATGGAACATTTTGCAGATGGGCGACTTCTGAAATAGCTGGTTCCACTTTTATTTCAGGTTATCTGAGTAAAGGTGGCTGAATGCATATGGGTGCAACTCTTTTCAGATAGTTCCTTTTTTAAATGTTGAAAATCAACTCCAAATGCTCACATTTCAAAACTTGGTCTGATTAGTCTCTTTCGTCTTTTTTTTCTGCAGGTATATGTTGCAACATTTGCAATATCTGCCTATGCGTCCTCCTACTACCGAGCAGGAAGCAAGCCCTTTAACCCCGTCCTAGGAGAGACGTACGAGTGTGTCAGACCTGATAAGGGCTTCAGGTTTATAGCTGAGCAGGTACTATCACTACCACACACTTCTCACATTTTTCTGACAAATATACTCCTATGAAAAATTACTTTTGTTATTCTTCTAAATCGATGCATCAGAATTATTAGGAGTCAAAAGTTTACCATATCAACACTAAATGTTGAGTTTTATTTTACAAAGATTATTATTTTTTAAAGAACTCATTTGCTGACAAAAAATAAGAACCATTCTCTAAGTAGACAATCAGGATTTGTGTATATCATAAAATTGATCCCTCATCTTTAATCCTGATTGTTCCAAAGTTTTAACAAGAAAGCTTGAAAAAAAAGGTCATATTGTTTCATCCCTCCATCTCCCAGGTGAGTCATCATCCACCTGTCTCAGCTTGTCACTCTGACTCAAGGAACTTCTGCTTTTGGCAAGGTGAGAGCATGTTTGGAATAACCTCATCTCCTCTGCGTGGATCGGTGCTGTCACCCTCCACTTCCCCTTCTTCAGAATGTTTTATGGCTTTTTTGGGTTTATTTTTGCTTAAAATGTTGTTTTAACTCACTTGACCCCTTTATCTTCTTAATATTAACAAAAATAGAACAAGTGTATTGAACCAAATGAACTATCTGATTGATTAGGTTTAACTTGCATATTAAACTGAGCAGCTGGCATTGTTAAGAGAAAGAGGTGCCTCGTTTGTAACTCACTTTTTTTGCGTTTACATCTTTTCATTCATTGATTTGTGCTTCCTATTTCAGACGTGCGATGGAAAAACAAATTCTGGGGAAAGTCCATGGAAATAGTTCCCATGGGAACCACACATGTCACACTACCTGCGTAGGTCCTCTTCTTGTTCATGCTGTGGGTGTGTTTGTCACAACAAAGCATGCTGTTTTTTTCAACACAATAAAGAGTATTTTGTGTGTTTTTATCTCCTCCAGCTTTGGGGACCACTACGAATGGAACAAAGTGACCTCCTGCATCCACAACATCCTTAGCGGCCAACGTTGGATTGAACATTATGGAGAGATGTCCATCAAGAATACCAACAGTGACGACTGCCAGTGTAAAGTGACCTTCGTTAAGGTAAAGAAGTACAGATGTTTTCTATATTTTACGTGTACAGTGCTGTAGAGGCGTGATGAGTAAAAAAATAAATAAATCAGATGCTTTACTGTCAATGGAAACATCGCCATCTAGTGGAGGCATTATAGAAACCAAATGTGAATCTCAGGAGTTTAAGAAAATCATTAAAAATTTTTCCTATTTCAGTAATTCAATTCAAATAAGGATGCTCATTTATTGAATAGCCTCATTACGTTTTCAGCATTCATGTGTTTTAGTTTTGATGGTTATGACTGCTTGGGTTTGATTACTAAAGACATTATTCCTCTTAGATATGGCCATAGATTTTGTTGTTTTAGGATGAAGTGAGAATTGGATCTTCGTTCTACTCAATTTAAAATTCCTTTCCCACCCTTTAGGCAAGAACCTGGAGCTCCTCGGTGAACGAGATAGAGGGTGTGGTTACAGATTCAAATGGAAAAGTGGTGCACACCATTTTTGGAAAATGGCACGAATCAGTGTTTCAAGGAGACCCTCCTTCTGCCACCTGTATTTGGCGAGCGAGTGAGTGAAACAAAGCCAGGAAATCTAAACCTTCATGTTCCTCTGAAGACGTTGTAGTAAATCCTGTTTATCATGTGATCATCCTTAGATCAAATGCCAGAAGAACAAGAGCAGTACTATGGTTTTACCCAGTTTGCAGTGGAGTTGAATGAGCTGGATGACTCCATAAGACCGCTGCTGCCCCCCACAGACACGCGTTTCAGGCCGGACCAGAGGTTCTTCCTATTCCTGTTTTCCTGGCAGAATCAGAACATCATCTCTTGATTATTTTGTATTTCTTCAATTAATGTGTCTGACATGACTGCAATAAAGATGGCAAATCTGGTCAGTAGTTGCCAGATTTCGAGATGGTTGATACCAATATCAGATGAACTATAGCAAAAGAGAAAATATTTAATTTCAGTGCTTTATTACTATCACTTAAAATACAGATATGAAAAGTGTTGAATGATTGTTACTAATCAGAAGTCCACAAAGCATTTCTCATTCTCACCTGGCTGTCTTTATGCTTGTGTCAGGCTGCTGGAAGAGGGGGACATAGATGGAGCTGAAGAACAGAAACAGAGGATAGAGCAGCTGCAGAGGGAGAGGAGGAGAGTCTTACAAGAGAACAACATGAACCACCAGCCTCGGTTTTTCAAGTACGTTCTTCTGTTGGTTGTGCGTCTTATTCAACTTCCTCTGCTCCATCCAATGCATGCTTCATGCTTTCATACAACAGAAGAAGACAGGATTCATTGAAAACATCAAACAGTTTGGTTTGGCATATATGTGCAGCATTAGTTTCAGAGCATCCACTGAAAGCCTTTTATCAGTGATATAGTGCATAAAGTCTATAATCTACGGGCACAAATATGTAGTTTGTGATTGTAAATGTGCATGAATGGTGAGAGTAGATTTTCCTTTAGCATAGAACTATACATTTCTACCAAATATTTGCTCTAGCTGGTGTCATGTCAGTCTCATTTTTAACAATCTGTGGATCCTGCAAGAATAAAGCCTGTTAAAGATGGGGGACAGCTTTGTATAAAAATATATTAAATGTTCAAAATACTGTTGCTGGACACAATTTTTTTTGTTCATCTAAATAAAGGCACACCATGTAATTTTTGGCCACTAGGAGCGCTAGACCTGTAACTGCCCATATTTTGCTTTTACTAAACATTTAAAATAATAACAAAGACATCTGACTGTGAACTAGGAGCAAAGTTTTAACTTACAACGAACAAACCATGATTGGCTTTTGATTTTCCTCCAGCGTGATCCCTTTGATGTTTTCTCAGCCCCATCAGAAGGTTTAAACTTTTTTCTTGGCTCATCCATGACCAGTAGTCAAGCAGGCGTAAAAATATTAGAGCTAAACCCTTTGCTCTATGACCATATAAGAGCCTGTGGCTGTTAAGCGATACGTTCTTCCAGGTCAAATGACCTGGCCAATGACGGTCTGTCATCTCTCTGTTTGTATAGTCGGTATTTCATGAAGGGAGCCCTGCTTGTAGCATTGATAGTGTCAAGCCCTATATATTGGCCTGAGGAATCATTTAAAATAACTCGTCCGCAGTGTGCCTTTAAATTATACCTTCCTGAGACTCGGTAGTGTGGGCGCCATCCTCCGTCCTTAGCGTGCCTTACTTTTACCCGAATAGCAGTGAACCCAAAGCTGGATGACTAAGCCCTTCTGTTTGATTGAATGTTAAATTTGTAATAAATATGATGTTAAACAGCTTAGAAAGAGGAACATAAGTCAAGATTTGTTTTTCCTGGGTTTTTTATCTGCAAACACATCTTAAAAAAAAAAACATTTTTACTTATTTTAACTTTTAGCTATCGGTGGAACAAAGATTAAATATTTGTTTAAAAGGTGAAAAATTATGCACCATTTCGCATTCTGATCTGAAGCTCAGAATATATAATTATTGGAGAATAGCAGCAGGAATGGCAGCTAGTCATAGTAGCACCATCATTATTAACATTTCAGTCCCAAAAATGTTAATAATAGGAAGTGATATATTAAGTTGTTTCTAAAGCTTTTAAAGCAAGTGTAGCAGGTTATAGACAGTCTGACCTGCTTGGATTAAATCAGCTGATTCACCCCTTTTATTCTATTGGAAACAAAATGTCCATTTATGAACATGTTATTCTTCTGAGTGATCAAACTGATCGCACATTTCCATTACCTATATAGGGGAATATTTCCAACTGAAAATATCCAACTGTGGATGTTTACATGATTTCTTTTGGTGTATTATGGTGTATAAGACTAAATGTGATTCAGTTTCATCATTCAACTCCATAGACAGGCTTTATGCACCGATTGGGGCTTGAGATTTTCTCCAAAGCATTAAAACAAGTTTTGCTGTATTAAAAGACGAATTGATTGTTGTTTATTTATTAAGCTGTGAAAATGTATTAACTCTTGCTGCAACACATCTAGGGCTTTGATTTCCTGCAATATTGAGAGAATGTTAAAACAAAATACAAGCATCGTATAGGAGGTTTTAAGTAGGAATTATTAAAATATGTTTGTGGTTCATCAAAAAAAGAATCATTTATAATGAAGCCATTGGAAAATGTGATGAGGATTCAATTAAGGATGTTGATTTTATGTTATTCTGTTTGGGTAGGAAGTCCAAGGATGACACGTGGGTGAGCAACAACACGTACTGGGAGCTGCGCAGAGACCCCGGCTTTGGCAAAGTAGACTTCCCTTTGCTGTGGTGACCTGGGACTATATGTCACCCCCTCCAGCTTTTCTGAACTGTCAGAAATCTAAAACTACATGAAGATCATCAACTGGGAGCCTTGACCTGGTTGACATGAACTGCTCTGTGTCAGCATAGTAGCACCATCATGACACGGACTTCCTGCTTCCTCCTTTAAATCAACTGTGCACATAGCCTGTTCTATATGTTGTTGTGTTTGTTTCTTTTTGCTCCTAACTGTAATATACACAAAGTCAGTGTAGACTAAAGGTGCACATCAGTGTGTTTTGCTGCTTTTATCAATTTATCTAAGTGCCTTTCACTGCAGTGCTGCACTCAAAGAACTGCTGGAGCGGTTATGCAATAGTACCTTTATTTGGAGACAGCTATCAGAATGATGAGCTGGCAAAGACGGACCTGGAGATCCTGAAGGAGATCATGTCCCACTTCTCTGTTTTTTTTCTGGGGTGTCAAAACTATGACAAAATGACTTTCTGGGAGTTTTTTTTTGTTTGTTTTTTTATCTAAACAAAAAAAGAAGGAAGCGATTCCTTTTTCATTATGCTGCCTTGTTGGATCATTCATGCCTGTAGCAGAACTGTGGATCCTTTTTTTCTCTTGAGGAAACAGCACAATTACTCCCTTTTGGAAGTATGTAATAAATTCTGCAATGGGTGGAGGAGTTATTATTTATGATTGCATACATTTTTTTTTATTCATTTTACTTCCAGGTTAGCTTTAGCTTGACTAATTAAGATAGCTGTATCTAATAAAAAAAGGAAAGCCAGGATTAATTTTCCCTCAGAAATGTTTGTAAGGTAAGTTTTGCCTGTGTTGTAGTGCAGCATTGTGACACCTAAGTTTAAGTCAACGTCTGAAATTAGTAAGGACAGTCAATCCAAAGCAGAAGTGTGATTGAGGAAGGAGGTAAAAAAAAGGAATTGGGATTCTTCCTATCAATTGTTCATCTTGAATATCTTGAATAGCAACGGCATTTTGAGGCAATACCTGAAACCAGGTTCTTTTATGTTTTCTTTAAGAGTTTTTTTTTTATATATATATATAAATTCAAAATCAATATTTTTGTGTTATTTAAACTTTCAAGCACAGCAATACATTTGCCCCCAGTCCTTTGTATGAGAGGCCGTATACAGTAAGCACAGGTATTTGTGTGAATTTGTTTTTTGTAAATCTTTTCCGGAAAGCTGGGGTTCCCTTTCCTACGCAGCCTGTTGTTCTAACTGTTGACCTCATAAAAAGGTGAAGGGATTGAAGGCAGGAACAAGTAGGTAGGAGATACATTGCCTGATTCAGAGGGAGTCTGTTTGACCCCTGCAGCAGGTCTGAGGCTTACACATAGTGCTTTTAGCCTTTTTTTGTAAGGCTCATAAAAATCTTTCGTTTGCTACTACAACCTCAAACTTCATTGGATTTTATATGAATTTGATGTGATAGAGCAACACATTCTAATGAAACATGAAAACCATGTAGGATCTCTGTGGCCTAATTTAAATCTAAGGAAACTTAAATATATAAATCCAAACGTTCGATAAGATATATTTGCTTATTATTATATGTTTGAAATCAGCACAAAATAAACAATTATCAGAAACCATTTTCATATTGCAATTAAAAATAATGTGGTGAAACACTCAGCACTCGTACAGGAAGCATTTCTGTTGCTAAAACCACAGAACATCTGTATGTTTTTTTTTCTGTCACTAGGGTAGACCTAGACTTAAATCCACAGCTTGAACTGTAAAACCAAAATTAACACGTCTTTCATTTATGCTTGATATAAGACTTACAGGTGCTGGTCATAAAATTAGAATATCATGAAAAAGTAGATTGATTTCAGTAATTCCATTTAAAAAGTGAAACTTGTATATTATATTCATACATTACATACAAACTCATATATTTCAGATGTTTATTTTGTTTAATTTTGATGATTACAAATGACAGCAAATGAAAATCTCAAATTCATCATATCAGAAAATTAGAATATTGTGAAAAGGTTCAAAATTGATGGCCCCTGGTGCCACACTCTAATCAGCTAATTAACTCAAACCACCTGCAAAAGCCTTTAAATGGTCTTTCAGTCTAGTTCTATAGGCTACACAATCATGGGGAAGACTGCTGACTTGACAGTTGTCCAAAAGACGACCATCGACACCTTGCACAAGGAGGGCAAGACACAAAAGGTCATCGCTAAAGAGGCTGGCTGTTCACAGAGCTCAGTGTCCAAGCACATTAATAGAGAGGCGAAGGGAAGGAAAAGATGTGGTCGAAAAAAGTGTACAAGCAAGAGAGATAACCGCACCCTGGAGAGGATTGTGAAACAAAACCCATTCAAAAATGTGGGGGAGATTCACAAAGAGTGGACTGCAGCTGGAGTGAGTGCTTCAAGAACCACCACACACAGACGTATGAAAGACATGGGTTTCTGCTGTCGCATTCCTTGTGTCAAGCCACTCTTGAACCACAGACAGCGTCAGAAGCGTCTTGCCTGGGCTAAAGAGAAACAGGACTGGACTGCTGGTGAGTGGTCCAAAGTCATGTTCTCTGATGAAAGTAAATTTTGCATTTCCTTTGGAAATCAAGGTCCCAGAGTCTGGAGGAAAAGAAGAGAGGCACTTCATCCACGTTGCTTGAAGTCCAGTGTAAAGTTTCCACAGTCAGTGATGGTTTGGGGTGCCATGTCATCTGCTGGTGTTGGTCCATTGTGTTTTCTGAGGTCCAGGGTCAACGCAGCCACATACCAGGAAGTTTTAGAGCACTTCATGCTTCCTGCAGCTGACCAACTTTTTGGAGATGCAGATTTCATTTTCCAACAGGACTTGGCACCTGCACACAGTGCCAAAGCTACCAGTACCTGGTTGAAGGACCATGGTATCCCTGTTCTTAATTGGCCAGCAAACTCTCCTGACCTTAACCCCATAGAAAATCTATGGGGTATTGTGAAGAAGAAGATGCAATACACCAGACCCAACAATTCAGAAGAGCTAAAAGCCACTATTAGAGCAACCTGGGCTATCATAACACCTGAGCAGTGCCACAGACTGATCGACTCCATGCCACGCCGCATTGCTGCAGTAATACAGGCCAAAGGAGGCCCAACTAAATACTGAGTGCTGTACATGCTCATACTTTTCATGTTCATACTTTTCAGTTGGCCAACATTTCTATAAATCCTTTGTTTTTATTGGTCTTCAGTAATATTCTAATTTTCTGATATGATGAATTTGAGATTTTCATTTGTTGTCATTTGTAATCATCAAAATTAAACAAAATAAACATCTGAAATATATGAGTTTGTATGTAATGTATGAATATAATATACAAGTTTCACTTTTTAAATGGAATTACTGAAATCAATCTACTTTTTCATGATATTCTAATTTTATGACCAGCACCTGTAATATTGATCTGATCTCACCAACTATTTAGATACAAAGGCAGCAAAATCCAAACTTAAATAAAAATCAGCAGAACTAAAACAAGCTTAGTAACTGAAGCACACTGTATACAAGAAGTCTACACACCCCTACATGAATTAGTTTTCTGTGAAACACAGAAGCAATTCTATATCATATCTAAACCCTTTTTCAGACATATATATATATTTATATATATTATTTATTTTTTTTTTTGGTCATTTTGAGTGGTGGTTTGTAGAGGACTCAAATACAGAGACAGAACCTGAGGTGTTTTCTTGCAGATTTGATAACAAACGGTGGCAAAAGAAGCATAATTCCAGAAATAACCAATCAAGGAACACAGGATCCAGAACAAAGGGGAGCACATGCAATAAGGAGAGAATGAAGAGAATCAAGCAGTGATAAACTTACTTCCTTGCAGTAAGTAAACAGAAACTGTAGAAGTAGTGTGAATACATAACAAAGATTAGAGTAATTGGCTGATTGGGAGCAGGTGTGGACAGGAGGGAGCTAGAGCGGAGGTCTTAAACAGGGGGGTCCGCAGAGGTACTGCATGGGGGTTTCAAAAGTTTTGGTTGATTAGACTTTTTTTATATTCCCCACTGCAATTTTTTCCTCTGATTGAAATGTCTTTAAATACTCATGAACATGAATTCAACACACTGTATGGAGGCAGAAGATATCTTTCAGTCATCAATGCACACATTCAGCGTCACACAGGAGCTCTTTTAAGCAGGGCACCATTTCATTCACAACACCTGTCCCATCAACCAGGAATCTGAATCAGAAATACTTTAATAAACCCAGGGTGAAATTACTTTGGTTACATGACTCCATCTGTAATAGAGTGACTATAGGACCAGTTTGATATAACACAATTTCATACCATATATATAATTGGGGGGTCCCAGCTCCATCTTGCCATCAGTTTGGGGGTCCTTGGCCTGGAAAACATTGAAGACCCCTGGACAAGAGGAAAGGAAACTGGCATAAGGGGGCAACAGAAAATAAACAAGAAACACATGCAAACTCAATTATAACCAGAAAACAACTAGAAAGATACTAAATGGAAATGAAACCAATTACCTAGAAAACAAAGAATGACATACGCTAAAACATAACTTAAAAACTCAAAAAGAAAACATAAACAGAACCAAAACGCCCAGAAAGAGCAGAATCATGACATATATACATATGACATATATTTATGTGTGTGACACTATAAAAGTTAAGTCACATAATATAAAAGAACAATTAAATGTGAGAGTTTTTATTGAAGGTATAAATTATTATTTGAGAAGCTCATACTTGTGATGGGTAACATAAACGTATAACCTAAATCAGCCCTCATATAACATAACCCAAATAAATCAGACCACAAACGCCCCACGTGTGGTGTGCCATATAGCAGCGGTGGCATCACTGCAACACCTGGCCCAGTTTCCGCTTCAAAACAGAACTAGACCAAAAACTGGGGGGATTACTGTGTTTTCTTCAATTCTTTATGCAACAAACAGGGGAACCTTTTTTATATGAATGAAACACCTTATGATATGGATGTAGTTTTGAACAAGAAAATATCACGGAGGAAAGGAAGGCTTCCAAAAGTTTCCCTCTCCAGTGTTACTGATCTATCTATCTATCTATATATCTATCTATCTATCTATCTATCTATCTATCTATCTATCTATCTATCTATCTATCTATCTATCTATCTATCTATCTGTCTGTCTGTCTGTCTGTCTGTCTGTCTGTCTGTCTGTCTGTCTGTCTGTCTGTCTGTCTGTCTGTCTGTCTGTCTGTCTGTCTGTCTGTCTGTAGGCACCATCGTGTGCAATAAGAACAGAGTCTAGAACAGAATAAATTTAGTCATGAACATTTCAATAACTTAAAATCTGTAAGGCAAGTCTGTTCTTGCCCTGATCGGGAGCACAGACTCAAACATCACTTGGTTCATATTATCATAATTAAGTCCAGTGGGCGGAGGAGCAGAGCAGGGGCGGTCACTCACTGTAAACCAGGCACTCCTTCCTCCACCATCTCATCTCTAGCCCCTTCCAGCTCAGATCAGATCAGACCTGAACCTCTGCAGGAAGCCTCATACTTTTGGCTCCAAGTTGCCTATTTCTGTCTAACCTGGCATCCTCAGAGACTCTCTTTGTAGTTCCACATTCAGGACGGGCTCTAAATTCCTCTGTGTTTAAGGTAAGCGTCTCTATTTGGAGCTTAACTATTAATAACTTTTTGGGAAGACTTGTTTACATCTGTCCCTCCTTTTCCAGGCAGTGCTCCAGATATACTCTGATTTAATTTCCAAATCCGAGTCAAGGTTTGGTCTCCAGGCTGGTCAGGGGAAAGTTTGGGGTTTCTGTGGGGGAATAAGGCTTGTTTGTAAATGTAATTCAGTGGTTATAAATAGTGGAGATGTTTAAAATGGGCGCTGCTTACTGTCCAAGACACATACCCAAATACCGGTATGTTGTTTTAAAAAATGTAATTCTATTTAACTTTGTTTATATTTATTCTCAGCGTCGAATGAAAGAAAACAAACTAAACTTTTCATGGCCTTAAAGCAAACAAACCAATTTATAATATCTACATTTTCTTTATTTTTTTTTAAACAACAAAATGTTTCTGATGGGTTTCAAGTCCTTCCTTTCCATCACCCTGATCCTAAGATATCTCTACAGATTCAGATCAGGACTTTATTTTAATTATTTATCTTTTTATCTTTTATTCCCTGTATATTTTATCCAATTTTATTGATTTAATTATGTGAATGTTATTTTTACCCATGTGTTAGCTGTTTTTTAATCTACTGTTTTATGCTTTATTTATCTATTTACTATTTTTTCTGTATAGCAATTTAGTCGGTTGTGGTTGTTTTTAAGTGCTTAACAAATACAATTGGATTAGATTTGACTTTAAGAAGTCAAAAGAAAATTGTTAAAAAGTAAAATAAGTAATTTTTGTCAACATTCCTCCCCCCCTCGGTTCAGATCACAATAAACAAAAGCAACATGAAATATTCACAAACCGTACATCTGAGCCTTTGGAGCTCGAGTTGTAGGAGAAGGAAATGTTTGGCATCAATGCTACAACAACTCTTTAAATATTTACCCCAGTGACTCCACACGTGGAAACCCCAGAGGATTAGAGTTCATTCTTTCATTTTTTAACTGATGGAAGATCAAACTTCATTCCAACTTCACCGCCTGCTGGCGTCCAACCTGAGTTCTGATCTGTTGTTTAGTTCATGCATTCTTCTGTCCAACACAGTCACAGATGCTGCTGATCATTTCCCTCTGCCTCCTCCTGGTACTTTAAAAATTAAAGCCATGATGTCTGAGCCCCACAGTAGTAAGTGTGTGTAATGATTGCAATGATCCAGGGGACTTCCTCACTGCTATCAATCCATCATAACCTAAATACATAATATTAATAAACATTTGCACCTGAAATACCACAGCCTTACATTAGACATCAGACTTGCTAGTCGGTGAGACGAACAGGCAAAACTGTTGCTAAGTTTTAGTTGCTTAAAAAAAAAAAAAAAAAATCCCCTTAGGAATGTTTGCCTTTCTGCTGAAAATGAAACAAGAACAATAATAAACCAAAAATCTCTTTCAGCTGTTTCTGCTGAGGCCATGTTTTCCAAGGCCACTGCCAAATTCGTCCGTCAGGTTGACCCAGAGGGAAGCCTCATCCACGTTTCCCGAGTAAATGACTCCCACAAACTGCTCCCCATGGCAATCGTCGTCAAGCGCAACCGCGTCTTGATGTGGCAGAGGCCCAAGTACCAGCCGACAGATTTCAGCCTGGGCGATCTGCTGCAGGGTAACCAGGTGCTCAGACCTGGTAGGTGTGCATGCAGAGGCTCAATGTGAGAAATAACAAAGTGAACAGCATGATCTATGTTAGCAGGATGCTTTTATTAAAATTATTAAATACTGGAGAAACAAGAACTGCTTTAAAAAAAAAAAAAATAAAGCTCACTACCACCAACCTCCACCCCAGGCTGTGGTCTTTTGTAGCTGTTAGCAGTTTACCTTCATCCATCTTCCCTTTAGCACTGACCACCTTTCCTGTCCTGCTGAAAATTCAAAATTCCCACATCATGATGCTTTCACCACCGTGTTTAACCTTCAGGATGTGGATTTACAAGGCATGCAATGCCTATTTTTTTTTTTACTCTTTTAAGTTTGGTCTTCACTACGAGGCTTTTATGGTATGGTAGTAAACTGCTAACAAGACCTTCTATGGATTTCTTTAAAAAAAATTGTTTTCCATGACATCAAGGTCTGCAGAGTGCATAAGTAATGGCTGTCCGATCAACTGTCCTCCACCTGAGATGTGGAACTTTGGGGGAGCTGCAGAGATTCTCTGATCCTACAAAAAAAATAAAAAACATAAAAACAGCCACACAAAGATGATTCTCTATTAGTCCTCATAATGTGGACTGTGGATTCACCAGGCTAATAGCAGCAGCACTAAAGGATTTTTTTTTCACTTTTCATCAACAATATGGCAATTTGTATCTCTCTGCAGATGTTAAAAGGGAGAATTGTTCCCATAAAGGATGGATCAGCCAAAATAATTCTCCATTTATTACCTAAGATTATGAAGAGCATTCAGGTCATGAATACTCAGCAATGCTTTGCAGGTTAGATAAGATTCAATAAATTATCTTTATAAAAGCAGATGAAAAATACAAAGTGTGGTGTGTGCGTCTTTACTTCACAATCTACCTGTGATTGATCAATGACTACTTTATGATATTTATACTGGAATCAGCCCTTATGTCAGTTTGATTGATGACCCCTGGAGAGATGAAAGTGGGCATTTTCTCAAAGTATATGCGCATATCTGCTATTTTCTTATCATTCATTTTGACTGATCCACAGACATCTGTTCAGAGAGAAAAAAATGGTGGTGAATAGAATAGAATAAATTTGTCATGCACCCAGGTGTGCAGTGCATAGTAGTAGCTTTCATTAGATAAATACATATAGAAACAAATATCAACAAAAAATGCACACACAGGCTACATACAGACTCATAAGAATTTAAAATAAGGAAAAAAGATAGATTTAAGTTTTGATATAAAATGTTAAATGGAGGTGGATATAAAAATGTATTTAAAGCGGTTTGGTTTTTGGGATTCTGAACCTTTGCTATAAGGCAAGAGCTCGTATTCCTCATGAAGGATGTGAGACGGGTCCAGCAGTACAGACTAAGTACAGACTGCTCATAGATGGACTAAAGGGAGAGCTTCTCTGTCCTCCACATCACCTTCATACAGTAGCAATCTGCCGAGCCATGCCGTCATCTCCAACCTGATGACTCTCCATCACTGCCAGATAAAATAAAAACAATATGTTCTGATTGACACCAAACACCTAACCTTGCGCTGCAACCTGAATTGATGTGAGATCTGAGTTTTCAGGCTTACAACAAGAACTCAACTCAGTTCTACACATATCAGTCTGGCTTACCAAACATCCTCAGCCTGCGCAAAAAATACATCCTTTGCTTTGAACGGGAACATATGTAGCCTTTATGATCACCCCATCGTAAAAGGTTATCCAGGTGCATACCTATACAAGTTTACTTGTTTATCTCCTTTTGAATGGACAGTGCTGATGTTTATTTTGTGAGAGAAGATGCTCCTGAATTACAGACAGGGGGGGATTTACCATTAGGCAATACTAGGCAGTTGCCTAGGGCCCCAAGTTCCTGGGGGCCCCATAAAACTCTGTTTCCATGTATGGTTAATACAACTAATCCTTATTTGTGCACATTAATTATGTTTTTGATAAAAATCCTTTGGCTAAAATGCCATCAGAACGCTGATAAATAGAGAGGAAAAAGGGACAAGAAGAGAGGGACAAAACCTAGAACAAATAATGGATGTCTATTCTATTAACATTTCTCTATCTGTAGAATGGGTCTGTTTTATGGGTTTTCTTCTCAGGGGGCCCCCTGCCTGTCTTTGCCTAGGGCCCCAAATTTCCTAAATCCGCCCCTGATTACAGACCATAACAAACTGCTTCTGGCTCCTAAGCTTAAAAGGTTATCAGCTACCCTGGTCTCCTCCCAACTCTCTGTTTTTGGGTTTTTCTCCCAGCAGTGACTGAGACAGAATTCCTAACCTACAAGGGGACGTTCAAGGGCGAGCACTCTGGGAAGTTGGACACCGAGGCCGGCCCCGCAAACCTCTCTTTGGAGAGTCTTGGTTTTTCCAGGCTGGAGTTTTGTTTTGGAAAGCTGAAAAAAGAGGAGCTGGATGTGAAAAAGCTGTTGGAGGACTCAAAGAGCAGGTTTTCAGTCTCTTCCATATTTTTTTTGTCCCAGGCAGGTGTCTGGATGTCAAATCTAAAAGTATTTTACTTTAATTTCTCAACCTCAGATTAGTGGATATGCAACATGTTCTAGTGCAGCAATTTCAGAAGCACACTGAAGTTCTGACCGTGGTGAAAGAGCGGATCGTCACCACCAACCCGTGCTCCATCAACCTGACGAAAAAGCAGCAGTATACCTTTAAAGGTGTGCTGAAGCTGTTCAGCTTGCTGGGAAGATCCCTGAAGGTCAGCCACGCCGCTTTTATATTAACATCAGATACAAAACTTAGTTCATGTGTTGATGATGCGTTTGAAGGTTAGTGGAAAGGACATTGACCTCTTTGAAGTGGACAAAGACGTTTCCTTGGAGATCCCCCCTGGCACCGTGATTGCATACAGCACAATGGAGCTGGAGATTGAAAAGAACGGACACTATGGTGAGGGTTTGAATGTGTGGCTTTGTGTGCAAACAAAAAATGTTCAAGGAAAATGAGGTTCTCTCATAAACACTGCTGTTTTTTAAAAGTCTTTATCTTAGATATTAAGGGGGTTTCCTTGACTTTCTTCTTTGTTTGCATTTTCTTCAACAACATTGTCTCTGTATGGTTTGCAGTTATCTTATGAGGGTGATATCAGCAGAACTAAGCCTCCTGTAAATACGACAGGAGCGCAGATCTATTTATGCAACACTACAGCTGCTTTCCTGTATTTACAGGCTATTCTGATTGTTTTTCATAGTGCATTTAGGTTTTTATTCATTCTTTCCTTTGATTATCCGATAAGGAATGATTCAATCAAAAAAAAAAAAACTTCAATAACCTGAATTAAGATGGAATCTCTGAGATGTGTGCAGGTTTTTGTTCATAGGATGAAACTTTTGAAAACCACCAAGAGGAGATGGCTTTGTTTTGATGAAATTGGGGATTTTAATCCCCAAACATCCTCATAGTGTGTTTTTCATTTCTCAGATATACGCCTCCAACCCGGCACCACTGGAGGCTTCAAGAGCGACTCAATACCGTTTCATGATTGCTTTGACTCAGTGGATGGCCAGGACTTGCGCCATGGTAATTCCCGATTTCTCACAATTACAGAAACGAATAAAGCTGTCGACGCAAAGAAGTGAAACCATTAGCAAGGATGAAGCTTCCCTTCCTTTGAAAGGGGAAAGGAAAGGAATGCAGAAAGTACATTTGATGAATTGTTCATTGAAAGTTATTTCATAAAAACTGATTCTTGAAATTCAAGTTATGTTAATAAGAGATACACCATCTGGGATCTTGCAGGAGGGCCAGAGACGGACCTTTCTCGTCTGGCAGAACTCCCCCAGTCTACTCGACGCGGCTTAGTAGAGAAGCTCCAAGAGGTTCTGAGGGACAGGGCCGCTCTATGCTTCATGCAGAACATGGTGAGGTTCACACTAGCCTGTCACACACCATCACTTCTTTGGACTTTTCATTATTTCCTAACTGCACAAGAACAATTGTGTAAGAAGTGACTTCCCAGGAGTATTACTTTAAGTTCACTACCTTTGAGGAGGAAAATTAACAATCATTATCAGTTGATGAAGTTTTTCTCCTCAGTCTGCTCAATCTTTATTTCTGTTAGCTGGAGAAATTGTGCGATGTGCAAACCCCCATCATCAATGAGAAGGAGACAAATTCCCTTCCCATCGTGGATCTGATGGAATCATGCTGCCTCTCTGAAGACGGCCCGACTTGCCCCTCTTTACACCTGGACCTATTTTACGGCCTGGTCAGTGCCATGGAGGGTGAGCAAAATCTTAACGCATAAAAAAATCCCAACTGAGATTACAATTTGCCTTTATATCATAATTTCTAACCGTGCTGCATGATTTTTGTTCTTAGAGCTGCCTGACGAGACGCTGAACATTTTGAGCAGCTGCCGACCTGATTTTCTGAAAGGCTTTGATGCCCTGGTTTGTTGATCTAATTTTACTTAAATAAACTTGTTTAGATTGTTTAGATGGAGCCACCTACGCACCGCCTTCTCTTGCTCTTGGCCCATAGCTCTTCTATAGGCTTTAGTACTGTGCCAGCCATGGAGAATAAGTTCATTGCGTTACTGCTAACCTATTTCTCTGTTCATTGGACCATATGTATTTATTAGTATTGCAATGACAAATATTTCTTTTTCACTTATTGCAGCACTCTTTTTTTAAATTAACTTGCATTTCTAATGTTCCTTATTCCATGAACAAGCTCTGTGCAAGAGCAACAGGCCCGCAGACTCACAGATCCTCCACCATACTTAACACAAGGCTTTAAGTGCTCTGCCAGTTGAAAGAAAAGACTAATTTTAGGGCAAAATCTATGTTATCTATTTTGTGATCAGTAGGAGTAGAATTTTAATTGAGAAAGTCTGATATCCTGAATGTATGCATAAAAAAAATAGTAAAAGTAATAGTTTTCTTTATTTAATATAAAGGAGATTCAATTAAAATGTTTATGCTACAGAGTGAAATGCAGCCTAAGTTATCAATGAGTTTATTTCTAATGTTTTGTGTCCTGTGCTACTCAAACATAAAAAGAATGCCATGAAATTCCAGCTGTATTCATTGGACTGCCATTAATGGCACTCTAACAAAAGACTCTTTCAACACATTTATAAAGTGTGAATACTTCAGGAATATGTAGTTTGGATGCTATAAAGCTGGATTATTTGTGTGTGATATGGTAGAACAATAGGAATTTCCTTTTTATTGTGCTTTAATGTTTTTTTTTTTTTATTGCAATGAATTCAATTCACAAAACACATCCCTTGGCCCATTAGCTGTGGGGGAAGAGGCTGCCCTGTGTTGGTCCCTGCGTTTACATGCATAGCTTCTACTAGTCCTCTTCTTCATCTTTATAAACCTTGACAGGCTCTTACATCCAGGATTCTCTCTTTTTCTATAGATTGAAACAATTTTGATTAATTTTAAATCCCATCCCATGTATTTGTTCTGAACAGATCCGCGGGTTAAAGGACAGCAGAGGGAAGCTGTCTGTTCAGTACATTCCTGCCAATCTGCAGGACAACCAGGTCTTCCAGCAGGCGGAGCAGCTGCTCAGGTCGGTCGGTGTGATGCTGCAGAGAGACTCTGAGGTTCTCCACATGGAAGCAGACCCCTTTAAAGAGGTTCCCCTGCTTCTCCTTGGTGTCAGTGTGCATGGACTGGCCTTACTCTGTACTGACCTATGTTAGATGCTCACCTATTTATTTTCTTCATTGAGATTTATAGTATTACCTTTTCCGTCTAGACTTTTATACCGTCTTAGCTTCATTTATTTCATGGCTTGACTTTTGCACAATGTTTATTATTTATTTAACATACATGTTTTATCACACATATAAACTGTTTATATTGTATGAAACATTTAAAGTTTGTGAATTTTGATTGGATATTTGAGGTGTTGGCAGTTATTTGCTATCAGTTACTATTATATACTGTAACAGTCTAGTTATTTCTGTTTTAACTGTTACCGTAGCTTTTACCCTCAGTTATCATTATGATATTGACAAGCTTTCTTCTCAGTTAATATTCATCAAATAGCTAAAAGCTGATAGTTTGTCAAGCTTGAGGATTTCTTTTTGTTTTCACAGCAGTTGTTTTCTCTCTCTCAACTCAAAAAGAATTTGAGAAAAACATCCTTTTGCTGTTTAGGACAAAAGAATAAAGAACACACTGAAGGTATTTTTATGTTTAATCCTGCCTTAAAAGATCCCATTTTGTATCTGTTCCCCTTCTCTTTGTAACTGGATTAATTTATTTCTACATTATTTAGCAGGGCTATATGTATTTATCATTTCCTAAAGGACTGGCATTGGACCTTAAGCTTCTGTGTCAAAGTCTAGTTGTTTCCTTCACCATAAGCTCACAGTCAGAGCATAAATTCTTGTTTGATTAATTATAAGCTGCTTGAACACTTTTTAAAACGTTCCTTTTAATTACAACATAACCAGTTTTGATTTTATTTTATGGAAATGCGAAATATATTTGTCTGATTTTGAAAGTGTTTCTTTAAAATCTGACAAACTGTTTTTTTTTTGTATGCTGTTCATTAAAAATATGTTTTGTTGATTAAAAAAGAAAAGGCTCTGTTTTTTCATTGAGTTTGAGAAGGTTGAAGGAGATCCAGCGGGTAGATCTAGGCTTTAGGAGAGATAGAGATAAGGGTCATGTGCATTGAAATGAAACTAAATTCTGAACTTGCAAAAAAAGAAGAAGGGGGTTGGTATAAAGAGTAATAATGAAAGGTCGAAGACCAGAACCTTGGTGGACTCCTGATAAATGAATGGATTGCCTGGATGGGGATATTTGGAAGTGGATGAAGGAAGAGATATGATGAGAACAAGTTTAGGGGAACAGAAACCATTAAGATATGCATTAAGATATATTATCGAAAGTAATTTGAGGAGGATGAGGATTGATAGAAGATCAGAGTCTGCTCTAATCAGGAGATCATTTGTGGCTAAAATAATTAATGTAAAAAAAAAAAAAAAAAAAAACTAAACATAGAACTGCGGAAAAAAAAACTATTTGCCAAATCCATTCAATTAAACATTTGTAAAATTCAATAGTTCAAACCTCTACTTTTCCAAACAACTTAGGGCTGAAGGGATAATAGACAAAGCAACTTTGATCCAATGTATGTTTAGAATGGAGGATTCTAGATTCACTGATATGTAATAAGAGATGTATATGAATCGAGTGGTGGACAATAAAAGTAATTTTGATATTAGTTAGATGTTGAGTTAATATAATTCTAAAAAAAAGTAAATTTCTCTACAGTTTTTCATTTTTTGTTTTGTTTCACATTTCAAATGTTTTATGTCACTGATACATTTTAATGCCAAACAGCAGCTTGCTTAATGATTGCTTTGTTTATAAAATACGACAATGTCTTTTAGCTGTATGTGAAAAGATAAATATTCCCTAAACTTATTAATTGATTGTGCTACCCGGTCAGAAAGGATCATATCCCATTGCTCTTTGCTGAATTGTTTATTTTGGCAACACTGGGGGGATGTTTAACACCACTGATGTATTTAAGGCAATAACACAGAATCCAATTTGAATTTAAGTCCAGATTTTGACAAGTCAGCTCTGGAACATTGTTTAAGCCCATCCAAGGTGGAGTAAGAAATCCGAGACCTGAAAAATCACACAGGGAGTTCTTAAAAGCTCCCTTCTGGGGGCCTCCCATTCAACATCTACATGCTCCCCTTAGCTGAGATTTTTGCAAATGACAAGATCAGTTATCATAACTATGCAGATGACACAGAGCTTTTCCTTAGGTTTTATTGTTGCATGGATGCAAAGGGGGGCCTAGTGATTAGGGCAAAGACCACAGACTGCCACTCTGGGTCTCTGAGCAAAGACCCTTAACCCCCGATTGCTCCCGGGCGCCCCGCCCACTGCTCCCCAAGGGGATGGGTTAAATGCAGAGGTAAATTTCTCCAATGTGAGATCAATAAAGTTCAATTATTATTATTAAAGCACCTAGAATTGTCTTTGTACTAAACTGTGCTATACAAATAAACTTGCCTTGTCTTAATTTATCGTTGTGTTGCTGCATATGTGCTCCTAAGGTCATAAAATGGCCTTGACACGGGAAGAAAACAATGTCATCCAGGTCCTACCGTTGCAAAGACGACCCAGATCATTACACTACTATCTCTATGTTGGATCGTTGTTTTTTCTGGATCAAACGGAATATACATCAGCTTCAGCATTAAACAGGATACTTTTTAGCAAATGTGAAATATTCCTTTAATATCTTTTTGGTAAGAGGTCAAGTTAAATGGTGTGGGTGTGAATTGATAATGTTTCTATATTTTACCACTTGTTTCTCACAGCTGCAAAAAAAGATAGGTTACATAAACATGCAGGGACGTATGGTGCTCTAACTATTATAATTGTGTCTCACTGTATAATTAAATTTATATCTGCATTTATTTGTTTATTGTATTTTTTAGGAGGGGAATTAATTGTACGCTTATTTAGTTTTGGAGCATTTATTTATTTCTGTATTTATTTTTTTATTATGGCAGGATTAGTCCTCCAGAGATTGGTCCTCCATATTCTTCATATACGAGAAGTAAAAACATAAATAAAATTTTGTCTCGAAGAATCAGAAATTATTAAACATCTCTTCTATTTATGTCGAGTCACAGGTTGCTTTTGGCAGAACCTGCATATTCGGTTAAGTAGCAAAATAAATAATAAAATCCTACCTTTTGAGAAAAATCAAATATTAACATACAAGAATGACATTCCGAAGGACTTCTCTGATATGGTCAATATTATAAGTATGGGAAGATATCATATACATGCATGTAAATGAAAAAATCCAAAAACCTTCAGTAACAAGTTTCAAAAATGAACTCAAAATCTTCTACTCCTTTTTATCTCTGTTAGCTGACAAATATGAAGATATACAAAAACTATGTAGTGACATGTCAAAATTTCTGGTTTTTGATCAGCAAAATGCTAAAGTTAACGTGATGTAAGGAACTGTCTTGTAGTAGAATGAGGCTGTCTCTTTTAAATTTGTCTTTTTTTCTTTAGTTTTGTATGTTTCCTTTGGTTGTAATAATACTGTCTGTTTTTTTATTCATTTATCTCTGTTGCCTTGCAATATTTAAGTTTATAATATATGTTGTCTTCTTTTTTATGTAAGAAAGAAATGTTATGATTCCTACTTGGAAAAAACAAACAAAAAAAGCATAAATAAATGTCTTTAATTAATACTACCACACGGGGTCGCTGCCGGGGTTAAACACCGACGCTTACTGATGACGTATTTCCACGCGACCTGCTTCGTTCGTAAACAGACGGAGGAGTAAACGGCGGTTTAACGCCCAGGGACACCGCTTTGAACATGGCGGTGTGTAACTTTTTCCTCCAGGGTCGCTGTCGGTACGGGGAGAAATGCTGGAATGAGCACCCGGTGGGAGGAAGCAGAGGAGGGGGAGGATATAACCAGAGTTACAGCCGCTCCGGGGGTCAGCAGCAGCAGTCAAGAGGAGGAGGAGGAGGAGGTAACATGAGACCCAAACCCTAATAACTTAATAACTTCCATAAAACCCCACCCGGCAGATTACTACTTATAAAGGATTGGAGTTTTGCTTCTTTAGCTAAAGTTAATGGTGTCTCTCAGCGATGTTCGCATAGTTTCAGTTTCCCTTTTTAGGGCTACATGTTGTATGTTGTATCTAAAAACTCTTCATGTTTATGTTTATCGGATAAGAACTTTTTATTCTAACACTATTTATCCTCATTAGGTCATATTACTGATGGGTTAATGAGGCATCTTGAAGAGTTTCGTCACACTTCGTTGATACTGCCGCAGAATACTGACACCTGCTGGACATTTAAAGACACTACAGGCAGCTTATTTGACAGACTAAACTCAGTTAATTTGATGACCTAGAGAAATTATTTGATTTAAGTTATCTTTGGTTATATTGTATTATTTCATATCTATATTTAAAATGAAAATATCTTTGATATTTTTAGATGCAGCCAATAAATAATGAACATATATCATAACGTGAAAATTTAGGGGGAAAATGTGAATGAGGATTTTTGTGGACTAGGATTTTAAATCATATTTTTAAAGTATGTAGTTTTTGTTTTTTTGGCAGATGCATTATGTTGAGAGCTATATTTTAAAAAACAATTTAGTGTGTCAGTCAGAAACAGCTCCTGCATCGGTCACAGACCTTTCTTGAAACGACATGCTCACCGATGCAGTGTTTTGCTCTATGGGCTCGATGCATGCACCAACTGTTTAGTGTAGCTCTATTTATCCTCATTAGTTCATACTTTGACCTGAAAAAATAATATTTTAATGCATTATCTCCCATTTCATTGTTTTAAAGTCCTTTCCATCCACCCGCCTCCATCACTGACAGCTGGAAACAGCCTACTGTGATTAAGCTGGTGTAGAAATAGTCCTGAAAAGTTTTATCCTTTCATTAGCTCCTAGTTACATCTCCATAACCCATGATTCATTTTCTGTTCATTTTCTTATTCCAGGCTTTGGGAACCGGGTTTGGGTGAATCCCTCCCAGCAAAGAGGAGGTTATATCCAACCTTCATCCTTCTCGTCACAGGGAAGCACTGACTGGGGATCTGGGAGTGAAGGAGGAGGAGGAAGAAGAGAAAATGTGAAGAGCTCCAACTTCAGCTTCTCCACTCAGAATCGGTTCTCTGCTCTCAATACTTCCAATGCATTTGACAAGGGAAGAAGAGGAGGAGGAGGAGGATCAGCTGCGGATGAAGACGATGATAAGAAACTGTAATTTTTTTTTCTTTAATAAACATTTAATCTTATTGTCTGCTTTTAATCTATGTTTACATCCTCCTTTTGATTAGGGAAATCATCCAGGTGGACATAGATGCTTGGGAGAGCTCAGGACAGTGGGGCTTCTCATGTTACTCTCCCTTTAAGGCGCCCATATCTGGTTAGTAACAAGCATACATACAATCAAACACCTTAATCTTTCTTACTTTTTTATAAATGTATTTTTCATCCCTGGATTTTATAAAGCCGTAGCTCCGTAGCTTTACTTTGATCATTATGTCTGCAGGCTTCACTGATCTGTCTCCAGAGGAGCTCAGGCTGGAATACTACTCCACCAAAGCATCTGGAGATCTGCAAGGCTATGTAAGGCCTCCTCTTATTGCTCATGGTTGGTCTATAGACCAATAGCTTAGTATTTTTTTGTCCCATCTTTCCTTGTGATACTGTCATAACACTTTCAGTTCTATGCCTTTTAGCTGAATGGTGTAAATCAGCTGCTTAGTCAGTGGAAAAGCAGAATCCAAGAGCTAAAGATCATGAGTCCTTCCACACGTCAGGCTTTGGTAAGACACAGAAGAACGAACAAAGAGTCCATGTCAGAAAGCAGGGTTTATGCTCATGTTTCTTCTTTGTTCACAGCTTGCAGAGTTGAATGGAAAAGCTCCACAGTCTTCGATTGGCTTCGGTTCCACTACGGCACCCGGATTTGGATTCTCCACATCCGGCTTTGGAAGTAAAGGTCAGCAAATGTTACAGTGTTGCAGGATGTGAGCAGTTAATCAAAGATCATTGATTACCTTGATCTTAATTGATTCTTTGAAACAAAAGATTTGAAATTCAATTCAGTTACTTGTCCTGTGATTAAATCACAGGTAGACCCAGTTCACAAATCAGGTGATCTCTGAATCAGCTGTTCTAGATTTTAGATCATAGATGGCTGTGTCATGTTTTACACAATTTGAATATTTTTTTTATTTATTTCAGACAAAGAAAAAAATAAAAAAATATTCAAATTGTGTAAAATATGACACAGCCATCTATGATCATAGATGTTGTTTAGATTCTTAACCAGAACACAGAAGAAGAATGATATATATGTGGGACACAGGTTCAAATGGAAAACGGGTGTAAGAAGATGATTCACAGGCTGAGAGAACTTTAAAACTGTCTACTAATATTGAAAAAATAGATTCTCTTCTAGCTTTGTTGTGAAAATAAGCTTTATAATGATATATTTAATGTTGGGTATTTATTTTATATTTAGCTTTATGTATGTGTAGTAACTTGAATTCTGTTGGAGTTAAGAGTCGGCGTGCTCTCCGGCTCTAAAACAGTCAGAAAGCGTGTTTTCTTTGTTTTTTAAGAGCTTCATTGAACCAGAAAAATTCAAATTGATTTGCTAAGTTTTAACGCTCACTTGAGGTGTTTTTTGTTTTGTTTTGTTTTTTTTTGTATTTTTTGAAAAAGGAAAGTAAACATGCATAAAAGAGGATGGAAACACATTAGTATTAGTAGTTTCTTTGCAGTAAATGTAGATCCTTACACGACTGATCAGCTGTTCTCATCAGAATCTCTCGACGTCACCTGATGACATGTGACCTCACTGAAAGTAGCTAAAATCAGTAACGCATTCATTCATACCTCGGCCCATCACTGGTCTATGGTCCGCCCTAGTTTACTTCTATTTCCTGTTTATGACAGCCAAGCGTAACGTAAACATGATCACATTACAAACCCACATTGAAGGGTTAACTTGCTCCAATAGATGGAAAAAACATTTTTTCTTTCATATATTAAGTTCTCTTAAAATTCACATTATATTTGGATGGAAATCCGGCTACACTGGAAAAAATCCAAATCTAGATAAGTCCTATTTTCTTAAAATAAAAGCATTTGTCCTTGAATTGAGGAGATAAGAGACATTTTGCCAATGGAACAAGACAATTTAGGTTTAAAATAAGAAAACACAACTGCATTGTGTTATTTCAAGTGCATATTATCCAATTATCTTAGTTTAAGAGTAAAAATACTCATTCCATTTGCAAATGTTCTTATTTTCCTACTCAAATCAAGGGTAAATTCACTTAATTTAAGAAACTTTTACTTGTTTCTAGATCGTTTTTTTGCAGTGTCGAGTTTCGATTTGGTTGAAGATCCTATTTGTATCTCTTAGATTAGATGTTTGCCATTTGCCATGATTCCTCTGTTGCTAACTCTTGTCCATTCTGACCATGCAGGCTTGGGTGCTTCAGCTCCAGCCAGTACCGGCACCTTCGGTTTCCCTGCTCCAAGTTCTGGATTTGATGCTTCGTCTACGTCTTCGCCTTCAACCGGCTTCGGTAGCCTTTTATCGGCTCCAACGCAACCCCCGTCTGGGTTCGGCGCTCCCTCCGCACCGTCTGCTTCATCCTTTTCCTTCGCCCCCTCGAACGCAGCGTTTAGCCCCTCCACCACTGCAGCGAACAGCGGGGGAGGGTTTAGGAGTGCGTTCGGGGCAGACGGCAGCACCTTTAAAGCAGCGGCTGCTTCACCCGCAGCTGGAGAGGCTGCAGACGGACTGTTCTCAGCTGAGAGCAAACTAACCCAGGAAGAAGTGAATCAGTTTAAAGCCAAGAGGTTCACTTTAGGACAGATTCCTCTAAAACCTCCCCCTGCTAACATGCTAGTCGTCTGACACCGTGTCTCTAAGAAAACTGGACTCATTTTAAATGACATCCTTTGCACCAAATCAATCTTCAGAATGATTTATTTTTATTTTTTGCTAAGTTGTATTACTCCTCTATAATAAAAATTACAACAAATCATTAAAGATATCAGTATTCATCAGGTTTCCAGCAGTGCTATATAGGTCAAATGAAGTTGCATTTGCACATAATAGTCAGAAGGGGGCGTCACAATAAAAACTGAAATGTTTGTCTTCATGTATATGATGAGCAACTTTTTGTTCCCTGAGTGACGCCTATCAGTTTTTGATTCCCTAAAATATAAAAACAATAAAGGAAGATCTATGAGTGCAAAATGATTCCCCCAAAATCAACTTCTGCAGAGAATTTAGGAGAGCGCAGATAAGCAATGTGCAAATTCAGTAGGTGTTTATTAGATGCTGAGTACCAGTGGGACCATGAGCAGAGTAATACAGACCACAGCAATAAGCAGTTTTACTACAGGGGCCGCTGCAGTGCTGACTACTGCGCCTTTTTCAGCTGACGAAGACCTCGGCTTGTCAGTAGAGAGGTGAAAAGGAGCCGAGTAAAGCGTTTGCCAGGTCAAAAGGCGTCGCAGATACAACTATTACGAGATGCATCCCTGCAAATTGTTGCAGTACATTAACTGTAGAGACGGCGTGCAGTTTCTCTTACAGCGGTCCATCCCCCTCCCTATCCTGCCTCTGCCAGCAGATAATACATAAATAATTCATCAGATTAAAAAGGGGCTATCTCATGAAAAAAGGCACTCTCATTTCACTGGAACTCATTTAATTTGTAATGCAGCTCCATCAAATTGCCAGGCTGCTTGTGCGGATGCAACGGTGTGCATGAGTGGAGAGCAGATCAGAGCTGTATTACATGCAGTGAATAAGGTCACGGATGTTTGGGTGTTTTTACATAAACGCACACAAACAGCCAGATGCAGGTTTTTTTCTTCTTTTGTTTCCACATACGCAGCCTTCTCATTTATTTGCACACCTGGTAATGATGTGAAAAAGGATATATATAAAAAAAAAAAAGAACAATCATCTCTTATTATAGAATCCCCTCAAAACAAGTCTAACATTAAATTTGAGTATGTTTTTTTTTCACAAAAAAAACAAGAGCCAAATAAAAAAAGAACAAAATAGACTGAATGATTTGTGGTAATTATTCTTCTTTTTTATTGGCAGGACAAAAAAAACCCTCATATTACTTTTATTTTCCAAAATAGATGCAGCAGAATACATACAGTTCATTCAGTTTGATGACTTTTGAACTCTTTAAAACTTTTAGAAGATTCTTTCAGTTTCTAATGTCATTGGATGACCTCCGTTATCATTATTTGCTGGTTTAAGAAGTTTAAAGCTTGTACTGAAATAAAATGTCTAAGCTTAAGATAAGGTAAATGTGTTAACTGTGGGGCGAAATTATATGGTTAAAATGATAAACACATCCAATCGCTGAATCCGTTAAAATAGAAACTATTGTCCTTATCATCTGCAAATAAAAGCAGAAATGAGTCCCTGCTTTGTAAGCAACGTAGCTATGGGTTCATCTTCGTTTGAAATTTTAAATCTTCTTCATATTTCTGGTCAGAGCCAAAAAAAAAGAAGTTTAAAACACTGAATTATGGGAAATAAGGTCTTAATTTAATGTAATGTGCTCCTCTCTTTTCCATTTAATAGAAAGAAGCCTTTATCCTACTTCATGTTTGTAATTCAAGAAAAATGGTTAGAGATGGTTAATAAAGAAAAACAAAACGAAAACATGTTACTTGGTTTAAAGAGGAAAAGAAAAACCAACATATTTACTTGAACTTTTGCACATCTTTGTCCGGGTTATCAGCATTTGTGGAGGTCCCTGTGAATTCCCCTGAAGTAAAAGGAAAGAAATGTATACAATTTGTAAAAAAAAAAAAATAGATAAGGTTCATTCTGCTACCATTTATGTTTGAAAATAATTCAACCGCAGATTTATAATTCTCAACAGGGACCTTTATAGAGCTTATAGATGAAGCTCCTCTGTTTGCTCCTTAAGTGTGTCTCAATTCGTAAAGGTCCCTCAGCATCACACTGCAAAAAAATATATTTCCATAAATAAGTGCACTTTTTCTTCAATTGAGCAGGTAAGATAATTTACATTTTAAATATGGAAAAACATCACAGGCTCTTATTTCAAGTGCATTATATCTACTTATCTTTTTTTGAGGGCAAACATACTTTCCATTTGCAAATTATCTTATTTACCTGCTCAGATTAATGGCAAACATATTTTAAGACATTTTTACTTATTTTTAGATTGTTTCTACAGTGCAAGTTTCTAAGCTGACTTTATTCTGTAAAAATGAACATTTGTGCAATATAAGGATCCAACTCTCTCCAACTGTTGCCATAAGTATTCAGTTATTCCTGCAAATCATTTCTAATCAGGCTTTATAATCCCTACCATGTGATAAAATCCAGCCCCTGAATATGCAGACTACTTCTATAAACATTTGTATTAGTTGCAGTGAATCCCAGCGTAGGTAGAATGTGACTTCCGCATTAAGCCTGACTGTGAACTGTCTTTAGGACTACATATCCCACAATCCTCAGCGCTTGAGAATGACAGCAGCTCAGCAGAGAGCTCCAGAGGTCTTGTAGAAGTCCGATTGGGCAGGTAACCCGGCAAAGAGAGCCTGATTTATTGAAGGCTACAGCTCGGTGGCTTTACCCCGACTTTACAACCGCAGCTGGCGATACAAACCATTGGATGCAGAGGTGTCAATTAAACCACATCTGGACTGTTGGTCTGTGGCGTGGGAATGCTTTTAGGAGGAGGGTTCCACCTCTAATTTCAAGTGAAAATAAAACTTTAAATACTGGAACATGCGGACGTGTTTCCAACTATTTTATGTCCAAAGATTTGTGTGAATGGTTCAGTAAGTGTGCATTGTTGTAAATACTCCTAAACATTGGGTGCTGTAAAGGAAGAAAATATTCTAACATAGTTAACTTTGGAAAAAGATTGGCTTCTGATTCTTCCCTTCCCCAGGTCCACTCGGCGAGCTGCGTTTGGTAATAAAACCAACATTGCGTGTTGACGTCACAGAATTACAGAGTTTAATCCAATATAAGACAATGCATACACTTTAGAAATAAGACAATGCACAAACCTACACCAGAAACTGCAGAACAACAGAGACATACATTCCATTACCTGACATAGGAGGAAAGAAAGCAAAGAGTACAGAGACATCTTTGGAGAGTTGCAAGGGCAAATCTGATCTTTTTCTTCTATTTAGAAAGCTTTATCCTCTTGTATCTAATCCATTCAAAAAGGGCTGGCCCTCGGTCCTCCAACCAAACGCCATCTCTGACACTGCTAGGGCTTCCCCTTATTTACTGCAAACATCTGGGGTCATTTGCTTCTTTGTTTTAACAAGAAAAGGCGGAAAGCTTGTCCTGGCATCTAGAATTCCTAAAGTCATAAAACACAAGATAAGCTCTCACAGACAGCTTGTGGAATGCGGGGGGCCTCACCATCCCTGGTTGTTTATTCTGGAAGACTTTTGACCTTCTGTAAACCAAGCAGAAATCTCTCTTGCAGGCTTAACTGTTATTCACCCCCCAGGAGATACTAATTTTAAGGCCTCCTGTGCTTTGAATACTTACCCATTAGTAGTTTTAAATCATTAACACAGCCTTGTTCAAAATTAAGAAATATGTTCAAATGAGAGTGTTTACACATGCCATAAGATTAACTGTAATAAAGTCTAAAAAATTATAATTTTTCTTTAACAGTCCCCGTTTTGAGGTCTGAGACATACAGACCTCACAAATAAAATGATTAAGCCTTCTAATAGAGGAACCAAAAAATTATTTAGTATACTAAAAAACTAAAACATTAGCCCAATTTTATAACAGTCCCCTTTTTTAAACAGCACCTCCTAGGTCCCCTGCCAGGCCATGTGTCTAAAGCTGAACTCCATAATCTAAACTTATCAAATGTATCTTGCGCTGTCCAACAATTTAATACTCACCTGATGAACCACAAAATTTTAACCAGTAAAAACTAAACTAAAAATACATTTCACTTATCAAATATGAAAAATCATAAAACTCAGTTATCTGAAAGAGAAGCAAACACACAATAGGAATATCAGCCCAGAATATGAAATAAAAAATAAAAAATAAAAGTAAGATATCTCAAAATTACAAAAAAATGCTCAGCAGACTTAAAAGACAATATTCACCACAAAAACTACAATTTGTCAATAAAAAACAATAACAACATCAAGAAATACATCATAAACACATAAAAATTACAAAATAGCATAAACACATAAAAATTACAAAATAGTTTTTTTTTTTTTTTTTTTCACAATTCAATAATAAGAAGTTAGAGTTCGTCTCTATGCTCCTTCGATAGTCTTTCAAAAATGAATATGAATTCTTCGTCAGGAAACGATCCAAAAATACGCGCAAAAAGAAACGAATGTTCTTGAAGAGTTCGCAAAAAACGAAAACACGCAATAAAGACAAGATAAGTTAATGATGATCTTGTAGCTGGATCCTTCACGTGTTCCTCCTCGGTTGTAAACCTCAGGTTTTCCACCTGAGTGTCCGTTGCTCACTGAAAATTGGAGTATTATGCCAATTTAACAGTGAGTTTAAGGAGAGGGTGCAATCTCCTTTTCTCAATGGAAGGACACCGGAACAGGATTATTGTGCCTGTCTGGGCCTTTAAAGCCTTGTAATTCAGGAAAATGAAGTGGTTTTGGCAGACTTCTGCCCGGAAATGCAGATCCTCCTCCGCGCTGTGATGGCCCTCAGACACTCCTCGACCGCAGGTTGAGACTGTAGATTCTCCTGTATGCCCTGCAGCGTGCGCCGTGGCTCCTCAGCTGATGTGCACTGACTCCAATGGAACCACGTGTCTCCTTCTCTCTTGTAGACGGACAGCCTGAGATGTACTCTCCACGACTCGGTATGGTCTGGCGAAGCGAGGTTCAGACCACTTTCTTTTGATGACCATCAGGCGCACCCAGTCGATTCCCCGAACTGATCCCGAGCCTGGACGTTCCTGTGACGTCTGGTATTTTGTAAATTCTGCTGCCAGGACCTGTAACTCATTGAAGAAATCTTTATGAGA